CTCCCAGCCAGTCTCAGGTGGAGTCCCTCCCAGCCAGTCTCAGGTGGAGTCCCTCCCAGTCAGTCTCAGGTCGAGTCCCTCCCAGTCAGTCTCAGGTCGAGTCCCTCCCAGTCAGTCTCAGGTGGAGTCCCTCCCAGCCAGTCTCAGGTGGAGTCCCTCCCAGCCAGTCTCAGGTGGAGTCCCTCCCAGCCAGTCTCAGGTGGAGTCCCTCCCAGTCAGTCTCAGGTCGAGTCCCTCCCAGCCAGTCTCAAGTGGAGTCCCTCCCAGTCAGTCTCAGGTCGAGTCCCTCCCAGTCAGTCTCAGATCGAGTCCCTCCCAGTCAGTCTCAGGTGGAGTCCCTCCCAGCCAGTCTCAGGTGGAGTCCCTCCCAGCCAGTCTCAGGTGGAGTCCTTCCCAGCCAGTCTCAGGTGGAGCCCCTCCCAGCCAGTCTCAAGTAGAGTCCCTCCCAGCCACTCTCAGGTGGAGTCCCTCCCAGCCAGTCTCAGGTGGAGTCCCTCCCAGCCAGTCTCAGGTCGAGTCCCTCCCAGCCAGTCTCAGGTCGAGTCCCTCCCAGTCAGTCTCAGGTCGAGTCCCTCCCAGTCAGTCTCAGGTCGAGTCCCTCCCAGCCAGTCTCAGATCGAGTCCCTCCCAGTCAGTCTCAGGTGGAGTCCCTCCCAGCCAGTCTCAGGTGGAGTCCCTCCCAGCCAGTCTCAGGTGGAGTCCCTCCCAGCCAGTCTCAGGTCGAGTCCCTCCCAGCCAGTCTCAGGTCGAGTCCCTCCCAGTCAGTCTCAGGTGGAGTCCCTCCCAGTCAGTCTCAGGTCGAGTCCCTCCCAGCCAGTCTCAGGTCGAGTCCCTCCCAGCCAGTGAGTTATGTTTCTTATTTTCCTGCTTTTCTCCACTTCTCTAAGTTGGGAACACACCCCAGAAAATGTGCAGTTATCCATTTCTTCTCATGAAGAATCGAGAATGTCCAATAAATCAATAAATCACAATTCATCCCTGGTTTTTCCATGACCATGGGTTAGTGTATAGATACAGTAGAGGCTAACCTAACTCACTAAGCTAGGGAGTGAGGGAGTGAGGGAGAGAAGATTCCAAAGGCCCTAGAACTCCAGCCACAGCCATTCACAGTGCTATGACTGATGTCATATTGCATGTCTCTGCATGGCCCTGAAATGAACGGGACCACCCCAGAGCTTTGGTGGGATTCCCCCACAGGAATGAAACGTGAATGTCAACCTCCATAATTCACAGATATCTCTTTGAAATAAAAGCTTAGCAGGGCCTTCCCCTCCACCACTAAGACAATGTGGGCTGTGAAAGGGAGGCTCGCTTGGAACCACATTAACAGGAATGTAGATTATGATCTTTAGAAAGGAACAGGCAGTTTATCATGAATGTAGTTATTAATGCAAAAGTGTGGCTATCCATCCAAGCATCTTAGCACAGCAGAATGTAATAAATGCAAAGCATATACATCATCCTACATAGTATATCCTATTTGATGACAGAGAGCAGGATGACAGAGAGAAGGATGACAGAGAACAGGATGACAGAGAGAAATCAGGATGACAGAGATCAGGATGACAGAGGGAGAGCAGGATGATAGAGACAGGATGACCGAGATCAGGATGACCGAGATCAGCATGACAGAGAGAGATCAGGATGACAGAGTTCAGGATGACAGAGATCAGCATGACAGAGCTCAGGATGACAGTTCAGACTGACAGAGATCAGGATGACAAAGAGAGATCAGGATGACAGAGAGAAATCAGGATGACAGAGTTCAGGATGACAGAGAGAGAGCAGGATGACAGAGAGAGAGCAGGATGACAGAGATCAGGATGACAGATATCAGGATGACAGAGAGAGATCAGGATGACAGAGATCAGGATGACAGAGATAGATCAGGATGACAAAGAGAGATCAGGATGACATAGAGAAATCAGGATGACAGAGTTCAGGATGACAGAGAGAGAGCAGGATGACAGATAGAGAGCAGGATGACAGAGATCAGGATGACAGATATCAGGATGACAGATATCAGGATGACAGAGAGAGATCAGGATGACAGAGATCAGGATGACAGAGATAGATCAGGATGACAGAGAGAGATCAGGATGACAGTTCAGGATGACAGAGTTCAGGATGACAGAGAGCAGGATGACAGAGAGCAGGATGACCAGAGATCAGGATGACAGAGAGCAAGATTTTTTTTATTTTATTTGAATATTTGTAGCTACTTTTTAAGTAAATACTTGCAGTCAACTTGTGCAATACGTTTAGAGATAAAGAAGATTGTGTTCTTCATTGCATCTGTCAATTTTTTCATTATGAAGCTTACCAGTAGTCCCCAGTCACCTGGCATTTGTTTAGTGAGTGGCGCAGTGGTCTAAGGCACTGCATCGCAGTGCTAGCTGTGCCACTAGAGATCCTGGTTCGTATCCAGGCTCTGTCGCAGCCGGCCGCGACTGGGAGACTCATGGGCAGCGCACAATTGGCCTAGTGTTGTCCAGGGTAGGGGAGGGAATGGCCGGCAGGGATGTAGCTCAGTTGATAGAGCATGACGTTTGCAACGCCAGGGTTGTGGGTTCGATACCCACGGGGGACCAGTATGAAAAAAGTATATGTATTCACTAACTGTAAGTCGCTCTGGATAAGAGCGTCTGCTAAATGACTAAAATGTAAATGTAAATGTAAAAGATGACAGAATCAGGATGACAGAGATCAGGATGACAGAGACCAGGATGACAGATAACAGGATGACAGAGAGCAGGATGACAGAGAGCAGGATGACAGAGTTCAGGATGACAGATATGAGGATGACAGAGAGCAGGATGACAGAGAACAGGATGACAGAGATCAGACTGACAGAGATCAGGATGACAAAGAGAGATCAGGATGACAGAGAGAAATCAGGATGACAGAGTTCAGGATGACAGAGAGAGAGCAGGATGACAGAGAGATCAGGATGATAGAGTTCAGGATGACAGAGAGAGAGATCAGGATGACAGAGAGCAGGATGACAGAGAGAGATCAGGATGACAGAGAGAGATCAGGATGACAGTTCAGGATGACATAGATCAGGATGACAGAGTTCAGGATGACAGAGAGCAGGATGACAGAGAGCAGGATGACAGAGAACATGATGACAGAGAGCAGGATGACAGAGAGCAGGATGACCAGAGATCAGGATGACAGAGAGCAAGATGACAGAATCAGGATGACAGAGATCAGGATGACAGAGAATAGGATGACAGATGTCAGGATGACAGTGCAGGATGACAGAGAGCAGGATGACAGAGTTCAGGATGACAGAGATGAGGATGACAGAGAGCAGGATGACAGACAGCAGGATGACAGATATCAGGATGACAGAGAACAGGATGACAGAGATTAGACTGACATAGATCAGGATGACAAAGAGAGATCCGGATGACAGAGATAAATCAGGATGACAGAGTTCAGGATGACAGAGTGCAGGATGACAGAGAGCAGGATGACAGAGTTCAGGGTGACAGATGTCTGGATGACAGAGTGAGATCAGGATGACAGAGATCAGGATAACAATGAACAGGATGACAGAGATTAGGATGACAGTGGATGATGACAGAGAGCAGGATGACAGAGTTCAGGATGACAGAGAGAGAGAGCAGGATGACAGAGATCAGGATGACAGAGAGCAGGATGACAGAGAGAGATCAGGATGACAGAGAGAGATCAGGATGACAGTTCAGGATGACATAGATCAGGATGACAGAGTTCAGGATGACAGAGAGCAGGATGACAGAGAGCAGGATGACAGAGAACATGATGACAGAGAGCAGGATGACAGAGAGCAGGATGACCAGAGATCAGGATGACAGAGAGCAAGATGACAGAATCAGGATGACAGAGATCAGGATGACAGAGAATAGGATGACAGATGTCAGGATGACAGTGCAGGATGACAGAGAGCAGGATGACAGAGTTCAGGATGACAGAGAGCAGGATGACAGACAGCAGGATGACAGATATCAGGATGACAGAGAACAGGATGACAGAGATTAGACTGACAGAGATCAGGATGACAAAGAGAGATCCGGATGACAGAGATAAATCAGGATGACAGAGTTCAGGATGACAGAGTGCAGGATGACAGAGAACAGGATGACAGAGTTCAGGGTGACAGATATCTGGATGACAGAGTGAGATCAGGATGACAGAGATCAGGATAACAATGAACAGGATGACAGAGATTAGGATGACAGTGGATGATGACAGAGAGCAGGATGACAGAGTTCAGGATGACAGAGAGCATGATGACAGAGGGCAGGATGACAGAGAGCAGGATGACAGATTTCAGGACGACAGAGATCAGGATGACAGAGTGAGATCAGATGACAGAGATCAGGATGAAAGAGAACAGGATGACAGAGATCAGGATGACAGTGCATGATGACAGAGAGCAGGATGACAGAGAGCAGGATGACAGAGAGCAGGATGACAGAGATCAGGATGACAGAGAGAGATCGGGATGCCAGAGATGAGGATGACAGACAGCAGGATGACAGAGAGCAGGATGACAGAGATCAGGATGACAGAGTTCAGGATGACAGAGATTAGGATGACAGAGATCAGGATGAATTTTTTTTTTACATTTACATTTTTAGTCATTTAGCAGACGCTCTTATCCAGAGCGACTTACAGTTAGTGAGTGCATACATTTTTTTTTTTCATACTGGCCCCCCGTGGGAATCGAACCCACAACCCTGGCGTTGCAAACGCCATGCTCTACCAACTGAGCTACATCCCTGCCGGCCATTCCCTCCCCTACCCTGGACGACGCTGGGCCAATTGTGTGCCGCCCCATGGGTCTCCCGGTCGCGGCCGGCTACGACAGAGCCTGGATTCGAACCAGGATCTCTAGTGGCACAGCTAGCACTACGATGACAGAGATCAGGATGACATAGAGCAGGATGACAGAGAGCAGGATGACAGAGAGAGATCAGGATGACAGAGAGAGATCAGGATGACAGTTCATGATGACAGAGATGAGGATGACAGAGAGCAGGATGACAGACAGCAGGATGACAGAGATCAGGATGACAGAGAACAGGATGACAGAGATCAGACTGACAGAGATCAGGATGACAAAGAGAGATCCGGATCACAGAGAGAAATCAGGCCCAACAGACCTGGACACAGGCCAGGCCCAGCCCCCCTGGACAAAGGCCCAGCCCCCCTGGACACTGGCATGGCCCCCCTGGACAATGGCAAGGCCCCCCTGGACACAGGCTAGGCCCAGCCCCCCTGGACACTGGCAAGGCCCCCCTGGACAAAGGCCAGGCCCCCCTGGACACTGGCAAGGCCCCCCTGGACACAGGCCAGACCCCCCTGGACACAGGCCAGGCCCAACCTCCTGGACAGAGGCCAGGCTCAGCCCCCCTGGACACAGGCCAGGCCCAGACACCTTGGACACAGGCCAGGCCCAGACACCCTTGGACACAGGCCCAGACACCCTGGACACAGGCCAGGCCCAACCTCCTGGACAGAGGCCAGGCTCAGCCCCCCTGGACACAGGCCAGGCCCAGACACCTTGGACACAGGCCAGGCCCAGACACCCTTGGACACAGGCCCAGACATCCTGGACACAGGCCAGGCCCAACCTCCTGGACAGAGGCCAGGCTCAGCCCCCCTGGACACAGGCCAGGCCCTACCCCGGACCGAAAAAGCACAACTAAAGAACGTTTCTAGTGAGAATGCTTCCCGGCACAGGACCAGGACCAATCCATGTCCGGGAAACCGGCCCTCAGGTGTCAACACATCAACCCTCTCAGCTATTGCAAGAGGTGGGCATCAGTAATCAGGCCTGTATTTATATCCCACATCTCAATCCCATGTGAATAAACCCACATCTCATTACCACATGAATACCAGTATCGGATTAGTTTAGGGCATTTCCAGATCAAGTGTGTAAATTGTTCATTGCCAATACTAAAGTGCCAACATTTGTCAGACACAGAAGGTTGCATACGTTTAAATTTCCTAGGGGTCATATATACTCTGTGCAGATATTTTAAATGGATAACTTTATTCAGAACAGAATTGGACACTTTGTACATATTTTTCCAGATATTTCCCCATGTTTCAGGAGAGAGGTGGACACCCAAATCATTCTCACAGCATAATTGTACACCGTGTTATACAGAAGATCTGGGGTTATTAAAGGTTTTATAAAGATGACAGAAGATCTGCTATGTGTCTTTTGGACTTAGACATTTCAATACCATTGTTTTCCAGTTCAGTAGACTTTGGAGGGGAGATCAATACGTTGGTTTTCCAGTTCAGTAGACCTTGGAGGGGAGATCAATACGTTCGTTTTCCAGTTCAGTAGACTTTGGAGGGGAGATCAATACGTTCGTTTTCCAGTTCAGTAGACTTTGGAGGGGAGATCAATACATTTGTTTTCCAGTTCAGTAGACCATGGAGGGGAGATCAATACGTTCGTTTTCCAGTTCAGTAGACTTTGGAGGGGAGATCAATACGTTCGTTTTCCAGTTCAGTAGACTTTGGAGGGGAGATCAATATGTTTGATTTCCAGTTCAGTAGACTTTGGAGGGGAGATCAATACGTTTGTTTTCCAGTTCAGTAGACTTTGGAGGGGAGATCAATACGTTTGTTTTCCAGTTCAGTAGACTTTGGAGGGGAGTTCAATACGTTCATTTTCCAGTTCAATAGACTTTGGAGGGGAGATCAATACGTTCGTTTTCCAGTTCAGTAGGCTTTGGAGGGGAGATCAATACTTTCGTTTTCCAGTTCAGTAGACTTTGGAGGGGAGATCAATACGTTCATTTTCCAGTTCAGTAGACTTTGGAGGGGAGATCAATACGTTCGTTTTACAGTTCAGTAGGCTTTGGAGGGGAGATCAATACTTTCGTTTTCCAGTTCAGTAGACATTGGAGGGGAGATCAATATGTTCGTTTTCCAGTTCAGTAGACTTTGGAGGGGAGATCAATACGTTGGTTTTCCAGTTCAGTAAACTGTTTAGGGGAGATCAATACTTTATTTTCCAGTTCAGTAGACTTTGGAGGGGAGATCAATACGTTCGTTTTCCAGTTCAGTAGACTTTGGAGGGGAGATCAATACGTTCGTTTTCCAGTTCAGTAGACTTTGGAGGGGAGATTAATACGTTCGTTTTCCAGTTCAGTAGACTTTGGAGGGGAGATCAATACGTTGGTTTTCCAGTTCAGTAGACTTTGGAGGGGAGATCAATATGTTCGTTTTCCAGTTCAGTAGACTTTGGAGGGGAGATCAATACTTTCGTTTTCCAGTTCAGTAGGCTTTGGAGGGGAGATCAATACTTTCGTTTTCCAGTTCAGTAGACATTGGAGGGGAGATCAAAATGTTCATTTTCCAGTTCATTAGACTTTGGAGGGGAGATCAATACGTTTGTTTTCCAGTTCAGTAGACTTTGGAGGGGAGATTAATACGTTCGTTTTCCAGTTCAGTAGACTTTGGAGGGGAGATCAATACGTTGGTTTTCCAGTTCAGTAGACTTTGGAGGGGAGATCAATATGTTCGTTTTCCAGTTCAGTAGACTTTGGAGGGGAGATCAATACGTTCGTTTTCCAGTTCAGTAGACTTTGGAGGGGAGATCAATACGTTCATTTTCCAGTTCAGTAGACTTTGGAGGGGAGATCAATACGTTCGTTTTACAGTTCAGTAGGCTTTGGAGGGGAGATCAATACTTTCGTTTTCCAGTTCAGTAGACATTGGAGGGGAGATCAATATGTTCGTTTTCCAGTTCAGTAGACTTTGGAGGGGAGATCAATATGTTGGTTTTCCAGTTCAGTAAACTGTTTAGGGGAGATCAATACTTTATTTTCCAGTTCAGTAGACTTTGGAGGGGAGATCAATACGTTCATTTTCCAGTTCAGTAGACTTTGGAGGGGAGATCAATACGTTCGTTTTCCAGTTCAGTAGACTTTGGAGGGGAGATTAATACGTTCGTTTTCCAGTTCAGTAGACTTTGGAGGGGAGATCAATACGTTGGTTTTCCAGTTCAGTAGACTTTGGAGGGGAGATCAATATGTTCGTTTTCCAGTTCAGTAGACTTTGGAGGGGAGATCAATACTTTCGTTTTCCAGTTCAGTAGGCTTTGGAGGGGAGATCAATACTTTCGTTTTCCAGTTCAGTAGACATTGGAGGGGAGATCAAAATGTTCATTTTCCAGTTCATTAGACTTTGGAGGGGAGATCAATACGTTCGTTTTCCAGTTCAGTAGACTTTGGAGGGGAGATTAATACGTTCGTTTTCCAGTTCAGTAGACTTTGGAGGGGAGATCAATATGTTCGTTTTCCAGTTCAGTAGACTTTGGAGGGGAGATCAATACGTTCGTTTTCCAGTTCAGTAGACTTTGGAGGGGAGATCAATACGTTCATTTTCCAGTTCAATAGCCTTTGGAGGGGAGATCAATACGTTCGTTTTCCAGTTCAGTAGGCTTTGGAGGGGAGATCAATACTTTCGTTTTCCAGTTCAGTAGACATTGGAGGGGAGATCAAAATGTTCGTTTTCCAGTTCAGTAGACTTTGGAGGGGAGATCAATACGTTGGTTTTCCAGTTCAGTAGACTTTTTAGGGGAGATCAATACTTTATTTTCCAGTTCAGTAGACTTTGGAGGGGAGATCAATACGTTCGTTTTCCAGTTCAGTAGACTTTGGAGGGGAGATCAATACGTTCGTTTTCCAGTTCAGTAGACTTTGGAGGGGAGATCAATACGTTCGTTTTCCAGTTCAATAGACTTTGGAGGGGAGATCAATACATTCGTTTTCCAGTTCAGTAGACTTTGGAGGGGAGATCAATACGTTCGTTTTCCAGTTCAGTAGACTTAGGAGGGGAGATCAATACGTTCGTTTTCCAGTTCAATAGACTTTGGAGGGGAGATCAATACGTTCGTTTTCCAGTTCAGTAGACTTTGGAGGGGAGATCAATACGTTCGTTTTCCAGTTCAGTAGACTTTGGAAGGGAGATCAATACGTTCGTTTTCCAGTTCAATAGACTTTGGAGGGGAGATCAATACGTTTGTTTTCCAGTTCAGTAGACTTTGGAGGGGAGATCAATACGTTTGTTTTCCAGTTCAGTAGACTTTGGAGGGGAGATCAATACGTTTGTTTTCCAGTTCAGTAGACTTTGGAGGGGAGATCAATACGTTCGTTTTCCATTTCAGTAGACTTTGGAGGGGAGATCTTGTCTCCCACGTGTTGAAAAAAATTGACCTTATTTTATACCTAGAGTAGGAAGTCTTTTTGGGTTGAATTCATTTTTTTTAGCTTCCCATTCTATATTTACTAAAGCTTTCATTTAGCTTCCCATTCTATATTTACTAAAGGTTTCCTTTAGCTTCCCATTCTATATTTCCTAAAGGTTTCCTTTAGCTTCCCATTCTATATTTACTAAAGGTTTCCTTTAGCTTCCCATTCTATATTTACTAAAGGTTTCCTTTAGCTTCCCATTCTATATTTACTAAAGGTTTCCTTTAGCTTCCCATTCTATATTTACTAAAGGTTTCCTTTAGCTTCCCATTCTATATTTACTAAAGGTTTCCTTTAGCTTCCCATTCTATATTTACTAAAGGTTTCCTTTATCTTCCCATTCTATATTTACTAAAGGTTTCCTTTAGCTTCCCATTCTATATTTACTAAAGGTTTCCTTTAGCTTCCCATTCTATATTTACTAAAGGTTTCCTTTAGCTTCCCATTCTATATTTACTAAAGGTTTCCTTTAGCTTCCCATTCTATATTTACTAAAGGTTTCCTTTAGCTTCCCATTCTATATTTACTAAAGGTTTCCTTTAGCTTCCCATTCTATATTTACTAAAGGTTTCCTTTAGCTTCCCATTCTATATTTACTAAAGGTTTCCTTTAGGGTGATTGCATTCCAACAAAGCTCAGAGTTTTATGTAAATTAGAAGCAATATCACAGGAGAATCTTATGATGGGATTTTTTATCCCTTTCCAGTATTTCGGATTGTACCACAGCAGGGCCCGAAGAGACGTTTGTTAATGTCTAAGACTTCTTGTTCTATAATCTCCAAATGAGAGGAAGTGGGATCATTGTTATGAGCCGATTTAAGAGGGTACCTTGCATTAAATGTCAAATAGTATTCCAGAATATAAGGCCCAGGCCACTTCTTCGATTTGTCATTTTTAGTTTCTGACTCGAAGGGGTTTCTCTCTCCGGAATAACTTCCTGAACAAATGATTGAACTTCCTGAACCATTCTCCAAAAAGGGGAGAGGGATTGCACTGAGGAAGTATGTTATACATGGAGGAATGTTCATTTTTATTTTCTATTTTACCCCAGTGGAAGGTCTTTCCATCTTTCATGATCGTTCGTTATCTTTTTAGTTAGAATGGCTATGTTAAAGCAGGTGATTTAATCTATTTGGGGTATTAACGTTACTCCAAGGTATTTATCTCCTGCTGCCTGTTGAAATCACTGGCCACTTTAAGAAATGGGACACTAGTCACTTTAATTATGTTTACATATCTTGCACTACTCATCTCATATGTATATACAGTCGTGGTCAAACGTTTTGAGAATGACACAAAGACTAATTTTCACAAAGTCTGCTGCCTCAGTTTTGATGATGGCAATTTACATATACTCCAGAATGTCATGAAGAGTGATCAGATGAATTGCAATTAATTGCAAAGTCCCTCTGTGCCATGAAAATGAACTT